CAGCAGCACTTTTCCTCATTTCATCGTGCTGTATCACTCTCTGTGAACACTGAATGGGGGGCTGTGCTCCATCTGGGCTCCAGGACTGCCCGGGCCCACCCGTACCACGGTAGCTTTACACATAAAACCCACAAAAAAGGACAAACATGCAAGCTTCACAAGAAGAACCTGGAGTTCTACTCACCATACCACAGCATAATGCGCAAATAATGAACAGTCCCATAACAAGTAAACGAAAACGTCCTGTGTGCTAAAAAGTATAATGCATATGTGTAGGTGAAGCATTGCATTGTGTGATTTCAAAGAGAGCAAAGTAGTAGTAGCTGACATATGAAACGGTGTCTTTGTGAAGGTAAATAGATGGCGAGACTCAACTAGGAGATTAGTGGGTGTTTCCGTTTGGTAGGACATGATTTCCTAATTGCTCTGCTCTTGGCAGCAATCGCATGGACAAGTTCAGACTCTTCCGCTGGGGCTAATTAGCATTTTAGGACATGTTTACACAATATGCATTCATATCATGGATGAGGATTTCCTCCCCAGAAAGACTCCTGCAGCTACACATCTGCCATTGCCCCTGCATCCTTTTTTTTACAGAGAGGTAGTACCTAATAAAACTAAATAGAGCACATTCTTGCAGTTGGAAACACAGCAGCACAGCATCGCAAATGAAGGACTGAGAGCTAAAAAAGGAAACGCATCTCTTCGTTTACTACACTTTCACACCCCACTAATTTCTTTAACGTGTGCAGAATTCATTTTGCTTCCTCTGTGCTCTAATTATTCAGGATTAAGCCACTTTCCATGTGTTTCAAATAAACCATCTTATAACTTGTTTGCTATAAAATAATTTTCATGTTTGACTGTTGACTGATTAGGCTAAAAGTTTTTAATCAAACATGGTGGTAACTGTGGCTTTCCACCCTTTTTCATGTGTGAGTGGTAGGAGGAAATGCTTGGCAGAAAGTCTGCTTTGTAGGAGTCGCAGGAATTCTCCAACTCCTTTGTTTTTTTAGGCCCTGCACAGGAAGCCGGCACCACTAGGCCTCATTAATGCTGTTTCAGAAATGCTGACTGCTTCCCCCAGCACAGTTTGGCAGGGGGCCTCGCGTTATTCACCGTGATTCACTTCACTGTCATTCGCAAAAAGCAGGACTGCCTGTTTTTTTAATAGAAAAAAAAAACAGCCACCATGTCCTGGCGTTATTTACACCTTTTGGTTTTACAAGCAGCAAACACCCGCAGTAAGACAATAAGCTACTAAGACTTTCCCGTTGGAAAACTTAAACTGAAACTATTGAGTTTTTACACACTTGTTGTTGAAAACAAAAAAGAACAGGAAACAAGATCCAGAGTGTCAACCATACATAGAAAAGAGCCATTCTGCTGGGGCTGACTTCTTTCAGAGACAGACAAACATAAGCTTTCATTTTGTTTGACCTCACATTTACAATTAAGCATTTCTCACTATGACATTTCAAGACATAGAGCCTTACACCTCTGGGGTTGGGGATCAAATCGTATCTCTGCTCTGTATCTGCATGTATTTCCACTGAGTGTATGTATGTAGGTGGCCTGTAGTGGACTGGCACTGCATGCAGAGTATATACCCTAAGATACCTGGGTCATGCTCCAGGTGGCCTGTTCAGCATAAGTGGCTGGAGCCAGGACTTGATTGTTCCAGAATGTTAGAGTCTCTGAGATTTGACTGTGTGTATCCCTGACATTGTACAGGAGGTGCCATTCTTCCATCATTTCCTAAATGAATGCTGATATAATTGTAATGTATTTCCTTACGTCAAAGCCTTGCAATGAAAGGCTGTGCCAATCGTTTAATATGGTGAATTTGTTAAACTGAACTGGATTGCATGTATTTGGGATCATAATGGCTGAGTAATCAGTGTTAAGAAAAAAAAAATGCAGTGACTTTATCGATTGAAAAGTTACATTTATTCAAATTACTTTAAAAGCTTAAAATGTGCCACTGATTGATGTTGAAACCACTAAACACCAAAAGCTGAATGAACCAAATGAAATGGCAAAGTGACAGCAGCTTGGTGCAGTAACACACAGCTACATGAGGCTGATTCAATCTGCCATCTGATCGTCTCTGTGTGAAACTGGCTAATGCTCTTCTCCCATTGGTTCTTATGTTTGAAATGGGGTAACAGCGTGAAAGTGTTAAAAATATAAATGTAGTTCTGATTAACACGAGCCATAATCTTTATGATCATAAAGATTCTTCTAGAAAATCACCTCCTGTTTTGGAAACCTTCTATTTTTCTTTTAAAATACAGAGAAATACAGGGGAGAGTATCAATCTTTTAAAGAGAGCTTTGTATGGTAACAGATATATGAGTGAAAATGAATCCTGGTGCATGGACCGTGAGACAACAACATAATTTATTCTATGTATTTTGTACTGTTTTGACTACCTTATGAAGATAAAGTAGCTAAAATGTTCTCTTGAATTTTACAAGTATTACAATATTCAGCGAATATCTGTATTTAAAACAAAGTTCTCTATGAAGGCAAATGATAATCTAATAAGCTATATAACGGCACATAATTGTAATTTATTACAATTATATTAATTGTAACTAGAGCAGTGGTCACCACGTTTTTTGGCATGTTTGTGTGCATCTCATTACGCATTCCTCCATATCACACGCTGCATAATGCAACTGAAGAGTCTTTATTGTGATTCAGATATCGGAAAATATCCTGTGTACATCTCTGAAGGACACCAAGAATGCAGCAGGATGTCACTGTGTGCTATAGGAAGGCTTCTGAACCTCCCAGTCTATCCATTGATATATTCCCCTTGATAACCAGTGGAATAGATATTTACAATCCCTCAATTGTTTAAAATTGAATTTCACAATTTTGCCTTCAAATTATAAAAATATGAACTGGTCTTTGAATACTGGATTCTAATTCTTTACATTATACATATGAAACAGGCAGATGGCAGATAATGATATATGATGATAATGACAAGAACAATGGTAGAATTTAATTATTCGTAGATGAAATTCTTTTTTTTAACTTAAAATCACAACTTAATTGCAGCATTTGTTAATCTGATAGTCTGAAAGCGGAATTGAATAGCCTAAATATGCACAGCATGTAAATTATTCTGACCTTTCAAACTACATTGAACAATGTTGGAGACCGTGCTGAGCTGTATAATCATGTTTACGTTATTCTATTATTATATATGCAATTCTAGCATTTTATTTCTGTCCCTTACTGAATTTCCAGGAAATGACAGATATTGTGGCCAGATGGTTAAGAACATTTCTTAGTGTACTTCTACTTGTTAAATGGGATTTAAATTTTTGTCTGGGTACATAACTATACTGAATTGCATTCCTTTAGATTATGTATGAATCTCTTCTGCTCTTACATAATTGAATAAATGACACAGGTTTGAGAGAGAACTTGAGAGTCCAATGCTGAATTTTTCCAGTCAAGCAGTGACAAGAGACGGCAGGATAATTCAGGGATGGTGTAACATAAACAGGACCCTTAGCTGTCACTTATTTGTCTGGAGGTCACACATTAGCTGCCCTGGTGATACCCATATGCTAATTTTAGGGAGGGTGGACAAACAGACAGTCACTCCATAGAGGGCAGCGAAGGTTACAGTCTTTCACAATCATGACAACATACTAGCTGCTGACCATATAAAGGCCCAAATCAGCAAACAATCAGTAAATGTTATTTGTTCCAGCCAAACAATGAAATGACTTCAGTCACGTCAGTTGAGCACTGAGGCACAGCAAAAAAAAAACCTACAGTCCCATGGTCCTTTAAGGCAACGATCTCAAATTCCTGTGCTTCTACACAGTGACCAGAAGCAAAAGAATACTCAGCATTCCTAAACACATGAAGAAGTGCTGTTTGACTGATTGCCAGATGTCACTGAATTGCAAATACAATAGCAGCCATTTAAAAAGCTGTAAAGACATCTAAACGTATTTGTAAATTAACGACCGTTGACAGTGTGGCAAGGGATACTGTGTGGCTGCAGTATCATTGCAGCAAATTCACAAAAAGGTGCAATATAAAACGTTTTTTTTCTTATACAATAGTGTGCAAAGGTCTTAGGCAACCAAAGGAAATTATCTTTAAATTATCTTCATATGGGTGTAAAAGTACGCCTGTCAAAGTGTGTTAGCTTAACCGTTTAAAAACCTCTGCGAAAGTCACCCCATTATTTGCAGCAACCACACAACACACCCATCTATTTTTCAACTCCCCTACTAGCCCACCTCATATAGCTTATCAATATCTCATTGACTTTTTTTAGCTAATTAAGTTTAGCGAGCTGGTGGTGAAATGTAACAAACACATGGAATGGCTGCGGTGCCCCTGAGGGGAGATTTGGGAACTGAAGCGATATTCTGTGTTCATCTCGCCATCCAACTAGATATCAGGAACTTTTTGGAGAACAGAAGAAATTCTTAATAGTTTTTATTGTTACTCTTAATTTTCATATGTTCTAATGTTAAATTGTTTTTTGTTCAGAAATAATGCACTTACTACCTAGATAACTGGTTTTAAACATTTCTTTTGACTAGGACTTTTGCTCAGTACTCTATATTGTAGGAATGTACATAAAATGAACAAATAAGAATATAATTATCATACTATAAGTTTTAATTTTTATCATCCCCTTTTATGGAGCACACGTACTAATGTTGGCAACAAAGAATAATAGTTATTACATTGTTTATTTTTTTGTTTCCAATGGTGTGAACATATGGCAGTTATGTTGGTATCCCCAGTTACATCTCTTTCTGAATAAACTACTGTACCTTTATAATGTGCTGTTAACATACACCATGGTAAAACTCACCAATTTGAATTGAACTGGATACTCAATTTATCACACTACAATTAAAGCAATAAGTGTAATCAACTGAAAACCAAAACGTATGTTGTAATTTATGCATACGCCCAGTAAACATGTGGAATAATATGCAATAATACACTTTAAAGTGCAACAAGAGTTTTGGTTTATTAAAAAAAAATAGTTATAAATATAGAGGGTACATATTACATTTTGATTCAGTAGTCACACATACAGTTCAGTGTCTCAACAGCATCACAAAATTTTATTCTACACTCTACCACAATTTTACAGAAAATAAGCAAAGCAAAACACGAGCAACAGGATCTCTCTGTGACAAAGACCTGGTGAGCAGCATAGAAAAAGTGGGTAACCATCCAGATGTGTACCTTCTATTCTACAATATCTAACAACTTGTTTACTCAGTGCAGACACTACACAATTCAATCAAGCAGAGTACCACTTGTGTGATTTTAAAGGAATTAAACTGACATCTTAAAATATCTTTATCATTAAATGAGAAAATAAACCCAAAATACAACATAACCACTACAAATATGAACCAATGAGAAACCTAACCAGTGAGATATCAAAGAACAACAGTTATAATAAAATTATTTGGCAAAAATTGATACACAGGAACATTAAGTCATTCCATGTGATTACAAATTAATAATGGCTAGACATTTAAAAAGGATTCCATCCATCCATCCATCTTCCAACGGCTCACCCAGTGCAGGGCGACAGTGGGCCTGGAGTCTATCCCAGGCAGCACAGGACACAGGATAGTGGTACAACCTAGATGGGATTCCAGTCCATCACAGGGCACACACACAAGCACAAACTATAGGCAATTCAGAAACATATTGACCTAACTACATATTTTCAGACTGCAGGAGGAAACGTATGCAGCACAGGATGAGCATACAAATTCCACAGTCAAAGATTAGTGGTAGAACTCAAGCTCCCAAGCAGAGGGGGACAGTTCAGGTCCAGAAAGTAAAAATACAGATCAAGATTTTATTTCAACCACCCAGCTGAGTATAAAGAGTCACCGTCACAGAATACTCAACTGGTTGGTTGAAACAAAATCTTGGTTTGGATTTTTACTTTCTGGACCTGAACTATCCATCTCTACCCTCGACCCAAGTAAGGCAGAGTTTCTCAACCCAGTTCCTACCGACAGCGGAGGAAGGAGGAGCAAAAATGTGACTATCTGGCAGGGAGCTAGGAGGAACAAAACAATCGGCCGATGGTTAAAAATGAGCTGGTTATTTCTGCCCGCACACCTGTGTACTAAATAGTTAACAAAAATGTCTGCTGGGTGAAATGATTTTAATGTTAATGAAAACAATGTTAGAAATGCATCTTGCAAACATTGCACTGGTAAAATTTCACAAGGAGGATCTACCAATACACGTTTCAGGGCTGTAAGTACTGCCGAATAACGTTAGTCCATCAGGAACACCAGCGTTTCATAGCAGAAGAAAATTCAGTGCAGAAAGTGCGAAATCATCCCACTTGATGATCAGCCCTTCTCTGTTATAAATGATATAAATATAAAACATGTATACAGTTATAAAATATAGTGCTCTGGGACTGTTGCTGTATGCCGGAGTTGGTGTTTTCTTACCAAAAATAAATACTTTTTCATATTTTTGGAATGCAATTCATTTTTAAATTTATAAAGTGTCCCTTTAACCTTATTTATGCAGGACCTCTCAAACAATTGTTATGGTTGTCGTTTTTCGTAAAAATCGGCTATCGGAATTGGCCAGAAATTTCTTTATCGCTGCGTCATTATTCTTAAGTTTTTTGAAAACATTTCACAGCATTGTATTTTATATAGGCCAACATGTAGCTGAAAATGTGTATGTTTTCATTATTTTTTAAACTTTTCATGAAATCCATGTAGTTAGAAAAACCAGCGGAATAATACAATTCTATGACATACAATAATCTGAATGCTCGCATAACTTATCAGTGCACGAACCGCAAGACCTTGTCCTAGACAATCAGTTCTCCGTACCAAATCGATTAAAAAATAATTATAATAAAATCTGTCATTCTTAAATTCCCAGCTGACCTCTAAGGTTTCCAAAAACATGGAGGCAAGTTCAGATAAAACCTGGAAAGCTGCCAGAAAGCATATGTGGCAGAAAACTTACATCGGACAAGAGTTTACAGTTGTCACATTACTTATGAGCACCCTAAGAACATCCGAGAATACCAACTCCCTTGTGGTTAATAAACAGGTTTTGTTCTCCCACTTTGCATTAATATTTCAAATTATCCATGTTGGCTGCTTATTTTGATCAGTGACAGATGCGCTGCCCCTCAAATCGGTGCTGCAACTCATGTAAATCAGTAATCAGACAGCACTTATAACAGTATAACAGAAAAGGGATAAAATGACTACATTGGGTTTTGTGCTAGTCATGGCAACTAGTTGTTTAATTCGAAATATGGAGAAATATTCTTAAGGTGATACACAGGGCAACTTTTTGAGCAATGCTGGGAAGTTGTCAATCAGGTGAGACAAAGGGCAACTTATTTGGATCTGGATGATCACAAAAAGTTGTCCACTGCCAATCAGGGTTTTTCAGATAGATATTTGTCACTCAGTATCAAAGGGAAAGTGCCCAAATATCATTGTTCAGCAGAATTGCCCAGCAACATTGCTCAAAAGTTGCCCTGTGTATTATTACCCTAAAGAAAGAGGCATTTTCTTGGACCAACAGAAACATTTGAAGGCCTCTTATTTGCTACTGATCAATATAACTACATTTTTGGCTATATCTCTGAGTGGTAACACTTTACTTGAGGGAGCACATGCTTACTTAATGCATTAATTAACTGGTAATAAGTGTTAGTCACATACTGATCCCATGTTCATTCATCAGTAATCAATCATGGTGGTTCGTGTTTTTCATGCAGGAATTGTGTATTAGTTCATAATTTGTTTCTGAGTAATAACTGAGTTTCTAAGTTACTTGTGCCCCCTCAAGTAAAGTGTTACCCTTTGAGCATTAATGCTGCAAGACAAAAGACAAAACAGGGGAAGCAGAGTAACGAGAGCTTATTTTTGACCCTATCCCTCCATCCGACCAGCAGTGGAGAAATGAAGATGATTTCACACCCAGTACTGGTTACTCCGCAGGGTTGGGGGAGTGGTGCGGCAATGCTGCACAGTCTCGGGTCCCAGGTTGCTCCATGAGCAGAGCAGCAGAGAGGCTTCCTGGGGACCGGCTACTGGTGCCAGGGCACCATCATGCATTCTGTCGGGAACGGGGCTGCCTGGGCAGCTGGGGCTGAGTGGGGTCACCACGACAGATGGTACAGTCAGGCTCCTCTCTGGCTGCCCAAGGTATGGGCTGCTGGGGCTTGGGGTGGCAATGAGGTCTTGAGTCAAGGCAGGCCGGGCCCTCTTCTCTCTGCGGCGACGAAAGACCAGGATGAGCACAATGAAGATGATGATGAGCAGTAGACAGGCCAGTAGGGGAAGGATGATGAAGAGGGGATCAGAGGCTGGCTTGGGAAATGATTCTGTCCTCACGGGGGTGATCTTGAGGGGATGGTCCTGTTGGCCTGAGGTGGTTCTCGGAACGACAGAAGCAGTGGTATTATTCCGCTGATGGCTTCCCCAGCGATTCCGTCCCTTGAATTTCTGTAAGGTCTTGTGAGGTCTTTGGGATGATGCCAATGGGTCGATTGTGGTGTGCGGCAGAGTTCCAAGCACTGTGGTCTGGCCAGACGTGGGCAGTTTGGTTGTGAGCACCGGGCTCTCTGTGGTGACTGGATTTACAAGTGATGGATCAAATGGTACAATGGTGAAATGAAATTCACCTCTTGAAGGCTGGACTTTTTCTGCCTTTAGGACAAACACAAAGGAATCATTCAGATACTCCTTGTCAGTCATGTTAGCCTTTTCCTCAATAGCCACTTTTCCCTGCTCCACATCCTGGAAGGAAAAGGATGATATGGGACGGGGAATTCCTTTTTCGTTAGCCAGGACTTTCACAACTTTGCCATATTTTGGTTGGGACAGGATTTCAAACTGAGGGTCAGTGCCACTTAAAACGGTCAACGCTGAAGCATCAATAAAGTCTTTTCTTAATTTCACTAGAATGCCGTTGGGGATCTTGAAATCCATTCCAAGTTGGATTAGGGGTCTCACTGCGATTTTAACAATCTGCTTCGTCAGGTTAGTCTCCGATGTGAAAGCAGTGAACTCAAAGCTATCACCAGCAGATGAAAGATCTGTCATATTATATGATAACTTTCCTAACCGTAAGTCATTCTGGTCAATCAGATGGACTACCTCATTGCTGATCAGAAGTTTGCCATAATGTGGAGGCTGTGTCACTTGGTACTGGATGACACTGTTCCTCCCACTGGTTTCTGCAGCCAGATGCTCATTTGAGAGGATGACAGAGGTCTGACCCTGTTCCAGCTCCACTTCTGTATTGTTTATAAGAGAAATTGTAATTTCATTCACCTCCAGATTGAAAAGCTTATAAACTGGCCGGTGTTTGCCATCAGTGACACTAAAATAAAATACTCCAGACTGGGGGCTTCCATCTTGAACAAAATACACCTTCTCATTGTTGATGTCAGCTTGGGTGAAAGTCAGTATGGACTCATTCAAACTGTGTTTCATGGCCAGGAAGCCATTGTTGGGTTTACTAATCACGGTGTAATTGATGTCCTCAGGAGGATTGTCCAGATCCACCACATTTAGGTTGGCTGGAGCCAAGACGACCGCATCTCCTTGTACTACTGATAAACCGGGGGATTTGGTTATGAGGACAGGTGGCTGATCATTCACAGGAATAATGGTTATGTTGAAGGATTCCTCAACTACATCTTTGTCCTCCAGAGGGCGCACTGCTGGCTTGCTTTTCAGGTTCAACCATGCATCAAAGACAAAGTTGTCGTAGGTTGTCTCTGAGTTGTCATGCTGGTATGTGATTCCAAATTTGTTGAGGATATACTGGGAGAATTTGGGTTTTTCCTTGGTCAGATTACGCTCCCCCACAATAATGACACCATGCTGGGGTAGGGACTTGACCTGGTACCAAACTTCATAGGAGTGACGCTGCACTTCAGGCAGCTTGGCCATTAGATTAGAGGCATCCAGCTTTGCCTTGTCAATCAGAACTTTCTCTCCCTCAGTCACATCTGCACCTAGTAAGTCGAAAGCAGAATAAAATGTATGCTATTCATATGTATGCAATTTCAACCACTATTTATTAATTCTTCCTGAACTGCATTGGACACAGTTCCCAAATTGAATTTCTTCAGATGACAATGACACGCGATTCACCAAGTGTAGCCATTAATTGAAGTTAATTCTCTGCCATTTTGTATTTGAGTGCTCAAGGCCAACATCTCACCAGTGTTTGCGAGGAGGATGGTTTTGTGTTCGGGGTCGGTGTTCTCGTATGAGATGTCGATATTGAATATCTGTGCTTCGAGGGAGGCGGGAGGAGATGAGAGAGTGAAACTGAAGAAGTCGGTTGCTACCCATCCCACTGATTCCGCACGGCTTTGCTCATATATAATCTCACCCTCATCCACCTGAAGAACGCACAAAGATCAGTCAGGAAGAATTTTCATTATCCTTAAGGACATATCCGCATACACATGCATCAAACAATACTGAATTACACTTATTACGGATTTCTCAGTCTGGCACTTCAGTTGACACACCAATAATTAATTTCTTTCATTCCTTTTAATTATATCCTCCTCCAGTGGTATGTATTCACAGTTGAATAATGGCTTTCATAATAATCTGGTCAACCAGTGGCAGATAATGGGGCTCAGTGCATACCATTGTTTGAGTGAAAGAGGAGATCTCTGCTGTTCTGTTGTCTCCCTGGACCTTCACCAGCCTCCCTAATTTCGGCGGGCTGATAACGTTAAAGACGACGGAACGGTTCTGTGCTCCATCGTTGTCATTGGTAACGGCCAGCAATTCTTCTGCAGAAATGGGTGTCGAAGAACCTGTAGAGAAAGTCTATTGCTGAGCAAGAAATAAGCTTCCTTTTAAGCTTCCCTGTCTCAAACCTCAAACAACAAAAACATGAACGAATGAGAACATCAATGGACTGAATATCACAGCTGAGGTAGTGGGTCACCAACCCTGAATACCACATGGCAACACCTGTTTCAAGTCAACTGGTACACAAAGCATAAACAATGGACTTATGAACAGTGAGGTGTGATGCATCGGATGTAATTCTAGATGATGTTCTCAGAATTAAAACCTCAATGAACTCTCTGTGGGCCAGGTTTTAACAGTAAGAATCTCTGGTTATCAGTTCATTTTAAAGCTACATAAGCCTGTTTTGACCATGTTTGTTTCTGGCTCAGCTGAAAATGTATCAACAAATGTAAAAGAGAACTATTCAGAAACCAAACCAACATGTACTCTTGACTAAATTCATTTTTTGGATAACCCAGAAAAGCATATTTTGAATATTTTTTGCTACAATAAATGTGCATAATTACGGGAGAAGAAAATATTATTACAGTAAATCAGATGACATCTTTTTAGTGCACCCACTGATCCCAGTGATAAATTACCGAACTTGGCAATAGTACCAATCTTAATACAGATATTTTAAGTAGCCAAGCTAGCACCTTAAAATACATCCTAATGTATTTATATTAGACCATCGCTTATATATCTTTTTATATGTAGGCAAAGGAATAGCTACACATTGCAAGTGTTTTTGAATGATGTGACTCACACTATAACTGCAAAACAAACACATAACATAAATCTGCCATTCAGAATATGCATCAAGTTGGGCAGATGCTTTGTCCAGTAGCACTACAGTAGGATCTTGTATTCTTTCTAAAAAGACTTTCTGTAATCACAGCTTTGTGCTAAGATAAGATGAAGACAGTCAAAACAAAATACAGGTCTGAGACAGGAAATTCAGCTTAGAACTGCGTGTCTGAAACCTGGAAGTGAAAAACAGCTAAATTAGACAGACTAGTGCCAAAGATAGGTGATGAAACATTACACTGCCATTTCGGTTAACTTGTGGCTATCAAATCGCAAAACTAAATGTCCTACAATAGATCAGCTTGTAAAGAAGATGAGTAAGTAATGTACATGATATATACAGATTTAAATTCTCAGAATTATAAGTTGTCAGCAGGGATACAAATTTTGACTTATAACAAAAGGTCGTCCTGCTTCTGAACTCTAAATGCAGGATATTCAAGCAGAATAGCTTAAGTGAAGATAAAGGAATATGAAATGATGAACGTCTTGGTTTGGGTAAGTGCCTACTAGAAGCAGCCTGGCACAGTGGGTTACAGTAATTGGGAGTTTGGATCCAGTGCCAAACCTGTATCTGTGGCACTTCTACATGGTGCATGGATTTCCTTCTGCAGTTCAAAGACATGCAGTTAGGCAGACTGGCATCTTTACATTATCTTCAGCATGTGGACACCCCGCCTTAGCTCTCTGCTGCCTGGGTCTGACTCCCACAGGACCCTGTACTAGATAAGGCTTTGGAAGATGGTAGTCTCTCGGTAATCTATCGAAGTGTCTATTAAGCACAATAAACGTCAACAAATAACAATAATATAAAGTAAATTCTGATAAATCCTATGTAGGCTGAACACGTAAAACATTCAGTTTTGAAATTAAAAACTATACTCAGCTGGCAGGACATGAAATGTGACGGTTGCCATTTGGTCTGCAGGTTACCTGGAAACATCTTCAAGGGCAGGTTCCTCTCCAATGTGAGGATCAGGGCTCTAGCAGTTATACTAAAGATCTGTCGTGGAGAAAAGTTGATGCCATCATTCACTTGGAAGTTGAAGCCCCCAGACATGGCACCTGAGTGACAACACAGAGGAAACCATGAGAAGAGGAAAAAAATCTGGTTATTTTGTTTCATTCATGTACAAAGGTTCTTGCACCATATGTCTGATGGATATATTGTAGTATACACAGTGCTCTCAAAAAGTCTCAGGACACTTGCTTAATTCAGTAAAAATTAGCAAATTTATATAGTAACAAATACAGTAACTGCTTGGGATGAAGAATGCATCATGATTCATTAATGATGAATAAATATGAGATCATTATTTAACTTGCGTTATTCATTACGTGTTCCTTCGGAAGTTGACAAAGGTTTACAGAATTAACAGATACAGTAACAAATATAGTAACTCCTCTAGATAAAACATGCGTCATAATTCATTAATGATGAATTAACACGAGATCAGTATGTAACTACGACTTTGTTAGTTTGTGGTCAATTAATACATAAGTGATAGTATAATACTATATTATTTGTGCCCCATCAAGTAAAGTGCTACCATTTCAAGTACTAATAAACTGAAACCCAAATTATAGTTCTAAAAGAGCTGTCCTGAATTAAAAAGTTAATTGACAAGCAGTCTGATTGGGTGCTTTTTAGTAACACCTTTGTAATAACATAGAACACAACATTTGTGTTTAGTATCCCTTTGGAAGCCATTGTATAGGTTAATAGCAAAATGGCACTGAATGGATCAGTCAAAAAATAACGGCACTTAATAAAAAGGAAATGGTAACACTTTACTTAAGGCCTTGTTTTTAGTCATTTATAAACACATTCATAATGAATTATAATGCATTCATAAAGCATCATAAGTGTAGCAATAAATATATAAAAAAAAACATTATAGCCATGCTCATTATGCATCAGGAGTGCCTTATTTAGCTCTCATCTATAATGCACTATAGATACTTTTATAATGCAGTACAAAGCATCCTTAATGCTTATACCAACCATTATAATGCATTACAAAGGCATTTATAGCTTCATGAATGCATTATTATTTGTTATGAGTTTATAAATGACTAAAAACATGGCCTTAAAGTGTTAAAAATGTCTGTGTGCAATACAGATGTTAGGTACAGATGTAAAACACTGCTTGTCAATGGACTTTTGTTACGAAATTGTCACTAAATTTGTAACATTTCTACAGAATTACACAAGTGTTCCAAGACTTTCTGTCAGCACTGTGTATAGTAAATAGTGGTATATTTTCAACGAAATGTATGGCAGAATGTAATTTCAGGTGTCACACTTCAGAAACCCATAGGACACTTCACTCCCCTTCTGCTGCTGTGCAAAACTCACCACTGTGCACAAATACCAGTTGACCCTGGTCTATGTGAGCCTGGGTGAAGTTGAGGATTGGTTTGTGGGGAGAGCTCTTCAGAGCCAGGTGGCCCATGCTTGGTGGGGTCACTATGTACTCCAGACTTTTCGGGGGAGAATCCTCATCTTGGGCTTTCAACTCGGAGGTAATCTCTGTGATGGAGTCAACCCACACCTGGACAAGGCGACAAAGGATAACACTCCACCAAGAGAGCACTGCCTTGCAGAGTAAACACAGCCGCTCATTGTCGAGTTCCTCAAAACTGTCTATCTGTATACTAATGGCTCACCATCAAAAAATAAAAGAATTAAATTACAGTCCATTCATGGGGTTCATTGGGAAGGTGTTACACAAAAAACATATAGCATTTCAGTTCTGCTTAAAAGTTTTCAGTGCTATATGTTTCACATTTCAAAGACACTGATGACCAATTAGACTTCCTTCAAAAGCAGGAAAGGTAACACTCAGGGGAAAAAACACACACAAAAGATTAGGTTACCATTAAGTGCTTTTGTGGATTCGGATGTGATGATGTAATGATGCCCAATCTCTTGGCTGCTATTCACATGGTTGTATTTCCAAAGATGGCAGTCTGCCTCTCTGTCGGGTGTGAGCTGTCCTTGGGTGCGTTTTTCAATTAGCGCCGGCGTGACTCACAGCACCCCTGCATGCCCTTCCTGTGTGTGTGCGTGTGTGTGTGTGTGTGTGCGTGCACATGCACACTCGTGGAGAAACCGTGTTGGGTAGGGCACAGTGGGAGGACCAAATCAGGCATGAGAAAGACTTCACTTATGTATGTCTTTTTGTGTGTGTGTTTATGCCCAAGTGGGACAGGATTCTGGAGAGTATGACACTGAAATATTTTTTCTTCTCATGATGAATGAATTGGAGGTTAACGACCATGCACATTTCAACCCCCTCCAGAATGTTTTCATTCCAAACGAAAAACTGCGTGCAACCTGCCACATTCATTATTGGTCTATTAAGGACCATATCAGCCTGATTAAGGCAGGGTTGGAATGAAAACACCTGGAATGCGGGGCACCAGGGCACCAGGAACGGGAGTGAGACCCACTGCACTACACAGTTCAACTCAGTAGATACCACAGAAGAGATCCAAGGTCTATTTTTATATAATTCACCATAGACCAGGGGTGGCCAATCTTATCCGCAAAGAGCTGGTGTGTATGCGGGTTTTCGCTGCAACTCCCTAATTAGATTACTAATTAGAGGACTGATTGGCTGTAGAGTCCTCACACCTGGGTTTGAACAGCTGACCTACAGGTTACTCCAAAAACCCGCATACACATCGGCCCTTTGCGGATAAGATTGGCCACCACTGCCATAGACACTCGGCTATGATTTTAACCAGTGACTGTAGCCTGTGTTATAGTATGCAAATTCTTATTTCATCAACAATTTAAGATTTTCAAAACCGTGGACCAAGTAAAGCAATACATAAAAATGCTAAATCTTTCTGTTTTCATGTCAGGTCAGTGCGAAGATCCACCTGGTGGACAAACTGGGTATATACAGAAAAAGACTCATTCTGGAATATATCAGGGCTGAGCAGCAATGACTCACTCTGCACAGCACAAAGGGTGCCATGTCTATCTAACTAAAATTAAACAACTTCTCCTTTTATGGTGGTCATAGTAAAAGGAAACACATGCCATTTATTTAGCTCTGGCATCCACTTTGCAAAGTTTGAAGGGGGATCCCAACCATTCGGTTTACAGATACCAGTCACTGTCATTGGAATTTCCTTACTGTCATGTTAAATATTTAGTGCACTTAACAATATATTACTAACCTTTATCTGTAAAAAGTTGCCACAACTGCATTTTACAAGTGTATCCTCCCTGTACTTGTATTACATCATACAAGTACAGTAAAATCTACTTATAACGGACTTCAAGGGACCTGGCAAAACAGTCTGTTATATCCAAAGTCTGTTTTATCCAGAGTTGCTGTATGGCTGCAGAACACAACTACAGGACACCATTTACTCATGCCACACCCCAGCAGACACACTATTGTGGTATAGATTATTATATTGTACATGTAGTAATCCAGCTTTACCTGAGCAGATGCGTGACTATTAATAATCCCGACTACGTATGTATCTGCACTGGATTTCACCGGTTTATATTTTAAAAATTTAACCAGTAAACCAAATCAAACAAGAAAAATCCAACTAGCTAAATTTGGTGGTATTTTCCCACTTTCCAAAGACATGAAGACAGGTTAGTGCGCAGCACAAAATATCCCTATAGTGTATGAGTGTGCATGTACGTGCCCTGCAATGGACTGGCATCCTATCCAGGCTTTACCGCTGCCTTGTACCCTGTGCTGCCTGGGACGGGCTTGAGGACCTCCCTACCCTGACCAGGACGAGAGGCTGAAAGCCGGTTGGATAGTTGGGCAGATGGATATCATTGTTGATAATGAGTATAAAACTCAGAAATAAAACTCAATCTTTACATTATCATTGGTCACTCACACTCACTGTATCTCGCTGAAACTTGAAACTATTTCTTTTGAGCACTAGTAAAACTGACATTACTAAACTCAAAACTATAGCATATGTAGAAATACTTTGCTGTATTTATTATTTTAGCATGACATAGCTAATTGACATTTTTTATCTATTCAACTAATGTCGAGTACTTTAGATGGATGTCTTAATTGCCATTCTTAAATATTACATCTAATTTTTATTCATCTGGTATCTGACACAAATCAGATGATCAAATGGACTGAAGTACACAGTCAGAAGGCATCACATATTTGCCCCACTGACAGTCTGACACAGCTGTTCAATAGCATTCCACCCTAAACATGCTGACACCCAGGATTTGCATGATTATACCCCCCTCTACAGCTGTCCTCGCTCCAGAAGTCTTCCTTTTAAGTTCACAGTGATTGTTACTTGGCCTCCAGACTTTAAATTAGACATACCATGTCTGGGATTTTCAGATGTTTCGCCATCAGACCAGTCACATTAACACACCATAAAATAGGCATGACCCTGTGCAGTGATGCCTGAACTATATAAACGACTCCAGCAAGTAACAGATAAAACTCACTCGCAGGATCCTGTTGGCTTTTATGACCGGTGGCTCATCGTTGAGGAGTCTAACGTTGACAAACACTGTGCGGGGCAGACTCTGCTTTCCAATGTCAGTGTCATTAGCAATAATGGTGAAATTATCAGCCGTCGTCTCACTGTTGTCATGAACATAGTACATGAATTCCTGCTCAACCTGTGGGTAATAAAAGCACTTATAAAGAGAACCATTCACAAAGTAGTATGGCAGCAATATACAGGATGACACTTGAAAATTTATGGCAAAAAGGTCAAATAGACATTATAAATCCTTTTCAGTCCATATAATTACATTAAGCGACTGTTTTGCAAGCCCCAATGGTAATGAAATGTCAATTCAAAACATTAAATCTAAATATTTTATTCCTTTCTATGGACAAACAAGAATATTACCTGCTTCCTGGTAAAAGCTGTCCTTCGAACACCTGGGAACTGAGAATGCTCGATACGGCCATGATATGGTCCCTCCGACACATAATACTGGAAGTTGAGGCCTGAGAAATGCCGGTTGGCTACTTTCATGACTTCCTTTGTTAAAGCCTTTGCAGCCCCCTCATTCAGGGTGATGTTGGAGACTTCCAGGGGTATGTGGGATGGGATGACATCCACGGACATCCTGATGTCGTGGACCTCAGTAATTCCATTGGTGACGTCAAGGACAAAGGTATCATTCAATTGGTTGGCCCCGACCTGCACATACTGCACGTTACCGGCATTGACATCTTTCTGGGAGAAAGTCTGGATTGGTGTCTCCTGGGTCCCAAAGTAGCGGTCTTCACCCTCGGCAAATCTTCGGAGATATCCATAAGATGGGGGTACCTTCACTGTGAATATGATCTCTAATGGCAAGTTATCTTCATGAATGACCTGAAAAGAGGTATAATGTATGACAAATTAAAATGGAATTGTTATCCATAACGTGAAAATTATTTAACACGGTTTATTCAAATGTGCTCACAAAAAAAAGGTTTTCAGTTACTTTAGGGAGACCAAGAACCGCACACTTAAAGGGATCAATAATATAATGTACAGATAAAAAAATTTTAAAAATCACATTTGTCTAAGGTACTCCCATGAAACAAAAGTACTCATGAAATAACAGCAGTCTCCAAAAGTAGTAAAAACTGACCTCAAGATCCCTTTTATTTATCTTGACAGGCTTGCCTTCTTCAACCAGGAGAGCTCTGCGGTGAATGACTCTAGGCGGCTGCTGGTGGCTCTCCAAGTACACCTTCACATTAACACTTGAGTCTAGGTGCATTTCCTTCACTTTCACTGTAAATTGGAAAACATCCCACAGATTCCTGCTATCATCATGACGATAGACTACAGCTCCCATCTTAAGATCATGCTGCGTGAAGCTGTCCACCAACAAGCCATTGCAGTAAATCCCACCATGTTTCGGCAGAGTAAACAAGTTGTAAGTTATCTCTTTGTTGTCTCTGACATCCAGGTTTGTGGTCACACTGAGGTTGGCAGAGCGGAGGGCTCCTTCTTGCCCCTTCTGGACTAAAATGCCAGTGTTGTTCTCTATCTTAAGGTATGCATCCTCTGCGTGGACATCCAACAGCGTGGACGCATAATGTTTACCATCAGACACGAAAAGTACAAATCGCCCAAAGCTAACCCCATGGTGGATGAACAGGACCCGCTTCTGTTCAAGGTCCTTCTGTTGGAATTGGAAGAGTCTGTGCGAGGTGTCATTTGCTAGCACCAAGTCTCCCATGGGAATGCCACGGCGAGTATAGATCAGCTGGCCATCATCAAAGTCTGAGTCTGTATCATGGTAGCACAGGTCCTCCAGTGTCAACAGTCTCTGACCATCCCTAACCACATGGAAAACCTTATCAATGACACGAACTGGTTTTTCATCATTGACTAACTGCACAGAGATGTGAAAGATGCCTTCTACTGCACCGTTCTCATCTTCTAAGACGGGTGGGACCGTCTTACTTGTAGAGACGATAAATGTGAACTGATCATGAGTGGTTTCACTATCATCATGGACATACACAATACGTTCCTCCAGGATCTCTTGATTGGTGAAAGCAGTGATGTTATCATTCCTAGAGGAAGAACTGGACAGATTAATGCGTTTTAACTTCCCGTGTTTAGGACTATCTATTATGCTGTAGTACAATGTTTTGGTGCTTAACGTTTCTGAAAAAAGTTCATCTTTTGTGATGAGTTTACTTTCCCCTTCCATTACAGACAGCCCCTCATTTTTCAAGATAATAGCATTAGCATCTGCTTTAATGCCAATCTGAAATTCATAACTTGCAGAATGGGCATGTTTGGAGAACACCTGGAAATTGAACTTGTCCTTTGTGTCGTCCTGCACTCTATGTACAAGTTCATATTGCACCTTTAGATCACTGATATCCTTCTGGCTAAATGTCGAGTTCTTCTTTAAGACTTTACCATTGAGCAACATGTTCCCTCTTCTGGGCAATGACAAAAGTCTGAAATGAAGCTCACTTTCAAGCAAACTTACACCTTTAATAATGGCATAGAGATGCTCGGAGTCTAGTAACACTTTTCTCACCTTGTCAACTTCTACCAATTTATTCCTTACTAGTTTATATTGAACCCAAGTCATAATGATTGAGAATGAGATTTCATCAGTGGCCACAGTGCCAACAGTAATCTTACATCTGAAGTGATCTGTAATATTATGGGTCTGTATTTCTTGGAAGGTGCTGAGATATCTCAAGCGTTCCTTCTCGAGAAGTCTCTGGGAGAATGTATTAGTTAGTTTCCATTCTCCACTGGTGTGCAGCCGCTGCAACTCTCCAAACTGAGGTGGCTCGATAACATCGTAACGGATGTCTACCATCTGCTTTATGGCATTTGTCTGCACAGCTAGGTGTCTTGTGCCTATGAGAGCCATGTCACCCTGCAGGACAGACACCCCTGTGTTGTTGGAAATTTTGTACTCCAATGGGATAGCTAGGATTCTTAGGACTACAGTATTGCTTACTTTGTCTCCATCGCTAACTCTAAACACAATCCTGGAGTTCTTCACACCATGGTGGACATAGCATATTTTCCCTTTCTCCAAATCATGGTGAGAAAAGGTAGTCACTGCTTTGCCAGGATTTTCATCATTTTCCAAAAATCCAGCATCTGCATTTAGATTGCCTAGCACAGAATACACAAGGTCAGTGTAGTTGCTATCTATGTCGATGGCTTTTAGCACTTCAGTGGTTAATGGCTTCTTGGAGTTCTCCAACACCAAAAAGAGGTTTCCTTCAGGAAGACTCAGTTCAGGAGCATCATTTGTTGGGGTGATGATAATGTCATATCTGTAAAGCTTATTTCCCTTCAGGTATGAAGGGACCTCCTTTTTACTGCTGGTGAAAACAGAAAACATAAAAAAATCTGTCAAATCTTCTGATCCTCCATGAATATACATAACCCTTCCATGCCACAAATCTAACATACTGAAGGTATTTTCTTCTTGGTCTTGATCTACATCTAACCTCAGTTGCCCATGTACAGGTTGCTCATCTACTTTAAACACAATCTGAGACTGCCTGATTCCCAGCTTCTTAAAATCCAAGTTTACTTTGATGTGCTTGGATTCCAGGGATGCTCTCCCACCTTCTGGAACTATAAGGTTCCTGAAAGTCAGAAAATGCAGTCCATGCTTTTTGTCCAACCCATTAACAAGAGTAGATGTATAGATCATTGGTGTTGGAGTAACAAATGGAGATACATTTTCAGGGACTATGGTAGAGGTTGATTGCTTTTCTTTATCTGGTTCACAGCCCACCGATATATCTTTGCTGACCATGACATTGGGAAGGCCAATTTTTACACCATTGACATTGATGTCCTTCAAACAACCCTTAAAAGAACCCCCCCTAATGCGTTTCCCAGAGACTGAGACCAGCCCCAACCTTCTGACCACTGAACGGGTACTTTCATCTATACCACCAACAAAGAGGGAACCCTTCAAATGAAGAGCCCTGGAATGTGAGCTGATGCTAGTTATCACTGTTTCCTCATCCACAGTAAGCTCGAGACTCTTAGATGTAAAGTGCAGCTTCACATGGTGCCATTTCTGGTCATTAACAAAGGAGAGGGAGCGGAGTTCGGTCTTAGTTCCGCCTTTCCCCACAATTGCAACTGGAAGGCCGCCTCGGATTTCCATGGCAATAAAGTCATCATGACGGGCCGAGTTGTACAGAATAATTCCTTCTTCAGCTGAAGTGTGCACAACAAACTGAAATATCCATTCTTGTTGGGCATTCCAAGGTGGAAATGAGATGTACGCTTTAGAACTGAAGAAGCTGATTGGTTCATCCTCACCGGCTAAAAATAGTGGGCTGCAGCCAAGAGACACTTCATGGACATTTTTAAAGCCATAGTATGGTCTAAGTGATGACAGCAAATTGTGCTGATTGAAAAGCACCTCATCAATGCAGCCCCGGAAGCCTACAGGGTCAGTTGTGAGATAGGGCTTGTCAAGACCTCCAGTGCCTCCCACATACAGGCCTTCTTGGATGTTAAGCTCATGCTCTGGTCCTGGCATTACCAGGCTAGCCTGAGAGTGTTTATCTAAAATCAAAGTGACGTTGTATTGCTCATGATGAAGTTCCACCGAGTGCCAGGCCATATCATTCAAGGACATTCTTCTCTCTGATCGAAGCAAGCGCTCTCCAGACCCAAGCTCTAACCTCACCTGAAACAAAAAAACAAGCATTCACCTTTAATTGGTTATGAAGGTCTTTAATAAACTGATAATTGAGGAGCTGCTTATAAGCTTGAGTTAAACATCTGTGATTGTGCGTCTCTGATCCATTCAGCAAGACCAAATAAGCCTGAAGAGTCCAGGGGATAAAATTATGTGTTTTTCTGGCATCTTGTTCTTAAACTATGATTAATATCATTGCTTTATCACATGGTGTGCAATCACCTACTGACATCTAAAAACATTTAAAATCAAAACATATTAAATATGCGTTACAGAATCACACCAAAACCTACCTACATTTCGATATCTGTTCGACTGCCTTGCAGGTTTGATTAGACCTTGCACTACAGTGAACAGCAGTGCAATATTCTGAAGGCCTTAGCACAAGATGAACATGTTCAGACCCTTTACTCTTCCACCAGACCTCAGATGCCTAAGTGCCAGAAATAGCTGCAGAGCTCCGGACTTAAACTATTTTAAAACCAGCTGGACTTCTGAGCTCCAACAAAGCAAAGTCTTTGTAAAAATGCACTTTACACAGTTTATCTACCGCTACAGCATCAACCAGCCTTTATCATCTGATGGCCCATTTGTGTAATTTATATAGTGCTTTTTCACTCAAAGTGGATTACAGAAATAAAAGAAACACACAATGCCCGGCTGCTCAAAGGCCATGAGTGTCTCCATCACTGATGTCAGCCTCTGGTATGAGGTAGGTGGCGTAGCTAAGCAGCTGTCTGTTAGCTCACCTGCAGGTGTCCAGAACTCAGCTCAACCAGGCAGTAGTCGCTCTGTCCGGCGGCCAGGAACAGCATTCCACTGGAGCTGGACGTGCGGAAGCGGATGTGCAGTGACGTTCGGTTGGACAACTCTGCGGTCTTCAGCTGCACAAATCCGTCACCATAAAAAGAGGCTGTGGACCAAGCAGAAGAAGCAGATTAAAAACCTTGTAAGCTTTTTTTTTTTGAGGTTATTAAATACTACAGAATTACCAATATAAATTTTACTAAACCAAAAACATCTCTCTCTAGTATAGAGCATCATATTATACTAAAGGCACTCGAGGTTTTTTTCGGCCAGAAAAGATACTGAGCCTATTCTGTGGGCTGGTGAGCTCCTCTACATTCCCTTTTCAGACTTCCAAGGGCTACCATTCCCTGCTGTAAGAATGTCACATTTTTTCCATGGAGTGTTTTTCTTTTAACAAATGCAGCAGTGCCTAACCACACACTTCATTTTTAACCATAAAAGCCCTGTTATCACTTGCATAATTTTATTGTTTTTATGCTTAAAACAGAGGAGCCATTTTATTTGAAAAATTACATTTACTGCTACTTTGAAGTTACCCTCAGTTGAATTATTTTTTTTGCTTGCTTTAAAAGTACAGAATGGCATATGGAATTTATTAAGTTATTATATAAGGCAGTATAGTATATAGCGATCAACTGGTTTTTAAGGATTCGGTTTAGCCATCGTGATTGCACAGGGGGAGGGGTCTTTGGAATGTCATGTAACCATAATCGTCACGGTTAATTCAGTGCATTTAGAGGGAAAGGTGGACAGATGTATAATTAGGGTCTGTAATGCTGCACCCCTAGTAACCTGGACTGCAGTACAGTTGCTTTTTCTGAAGACCTGAGAAAGGGACATTCTGATATCCTTTTAGCTCATAAAACCTTCCATTTGATATACTTCTTTCCCTGCTTAACCAGGAACCCTATCCAACCACGTTGGTCTAGTTTTGTCACTTACTCTGTCTGTACACTAATCCCATGCACCTCCAATAATGGGGAAATCCCCAACAAATGGTTGGTTTGACACCAAATCCTCATGTCACATGGTTCTATTCACCTCCCACTAGGGCTGGGCAATTAATCAAAAATTAATCAAAACTGACATTGTAGCATATTAGTTCAGTAATTTTTTTTGTGCAGTCCTGTAATTTGAAAAACATTTGAAACAGCTGCACTGTATCTTGAAGTCAATAAAATTCAGTAAATAGTGACACTGTCCATTTTATTACCTTATATGCATGTAATAAATATACAAATGTCAATTAGATGGAAATCTGCCTGAGACATAAAGAAAAAGAAAAAAGGTTATAATGATCATCTGCTTATAGTGCTCGATTTCACACAGACAGACGTGATCACTTTAAATGGTCTCCACTGTAATTTATTTTGTTTCCAAGAAATGCAAACTATTTATTTTCTACTTTTTTAGGGAACTTGCCTTTTACATTAAAACTAAAATGTGACCTTTTCCATAAGACATTTTAATTTCAAGTGATTTGTGCTTTGATTTCAGTTGTTTGAAATATTCAATAAATGACCATTAATGGTTCATTTGTGCGTTTCCTTCAATTATTTTAACACCATAAACATGTTAATAGTACAACTTTAATAGTTCAGCATGCTTACAGTACAAACCTTGTCAGTGAAATATGAGGGCAAAAAAAAAAAAAACTCAAAAACAAAATAATCGTTCATTAATTGTAATCGAGGTAAAATGCTCATTTAATCATGATATTGATTTGAGGTCATATCACCCAGCCCTACCTCCCACAAGGCATCACAAGTACACAGTCTCTACACTAATGACGTCATTATGGGCTAGCAATTGCACAAGTGCACAGACAAAGTGCAAAGACAGTACACATACTGCAAACAAGTCTTTATACTTTTTCTTTTCTTTATGTATATAAACTTAAAAAGTCTAGCTAATGTACCTCTGAATATTCTGGGAATTTCTCTAGGTAGTGTTACTGGTTACATACCTCTGCTGGAAACCTCAAAAATACAGTGGCAGCTAAATTCTGTGATGTTCTAAGCCTAATTTTTTTATGGTTTACATTTAACTCTCCAAACTGTTCTGAGGCCTTCATGTTCCTTTGTAAATGCAGTGTGGTTTTTGTGTAACTAGCAACAATGGTTTAAAACACTCAAACAGGTACTTCAAAATATGCAATATTTCTCAAAATAATGGCAAACAAAAATATCCATTAACTGCTGGAGGCTATTTCTGAAGCATTAACTCAGGACTTCTGTCATTCTCATTGCTTTATCTGAATTCAATTAATGTATGCTAATGGAGTAAATGCTCTTAAAAGCACTAAAGGAGAGCTTCCACTAAAACATTTGGAACACTGTGGCAATTGAAATGGGTACACAGAATAATAGGGGTCACCTAGTATGACCACTGACACTAAAGACAAACCATTCACTGGATTCTGTATGAAATATAAAGTAAATGAAAGTAAATACAATTGTAACATCTACCATTATAGAATGCAACTTCAGTCCTACTAAATGTAAAATTAAATGCAGATTTGTATGTAAATATGTAGTATAAATATAAACATTTAAAAATCTAAAATGTAATTGGCATCAACTAAATGTAATTGAAAATTCATACTGACAGTGACTGCTCTCAGACCCAAAATTAACTTCGAGTTTGGAACGAAATTTGCCAATAAACATCAATAATTCTTTCTCCTTTACTGACAACAGAGAAGCAGTTATATAACAAACAACTATCAAACAAGCTAAACTGATTTGAAAATGGGGGAAATTTTTACTTGTCCAATTAGTTCTTTCACCTAAGTACTTTATCATTTCAAATATTCATTCACTCATTCATTCATGTGTTTTTTTATTAATTATTATTATATTATTATTCATTCATAAGATCATGATAACAATATTGAGTAACCTATTCAAAGCAATAGCAAGAACAAATGCTAAATTCAGTGTAAACTCAAAAGCTGGAATTCTTTGTTTGCGGCCACAGGAATGTGACCTGGGGGGCAGCATCAGCCTCTTATGATGACTTCAGAGGGGAGGGCAGTCTGCCAGTTCTCTGTATACGGAAACCATAGACACAAACACTCCTCGAGAGGCTCAGGGGAATGTGTGCCTGTATTTCCTTTTAATAACTTCCATCCATTTAAAATGGTGAGACTATAATCTCACTTACATGCAAATAAAATTGGAAGAACAGAATTAACTGGAACATTTCTCAAGAAGGCCAGTCCTATAGCTTTGCATAATTGTGTGTGTTGGTTTCTACACACAGACAAAATCTTTACATGACTTTGTAGCAGAAGCAGCTAGTAGTTTGTACAGCTGAGACTGCACTCTAGGTGAATACAGATGAATCTTATGTGAATTATGTGATTCAATTTTATTTTCTGCTTCTTTTAAACTTTACTATGAAACAGATCACAAAAAAAAGAGTTTTTATTATGTTTGGTCCACAAAGGCTTTACATGTTTATTAACGCATCACTTCAAACTGCACTAGAATGTCATCCTATATTGTGCTTTTAATCTTTAGCAGTTTTTCCTTAAACTTAAGTTTTTATATTTCCATATGCATGTTCAAAATTTTATAGAAAATAGCGTAATACACATAAACTTAACCAAAATATACTTAAAACTCAAGTTCACTATACTGTATAGTCGTCCTGCAACTTTTCTGTAGGCTAGCTAAACACAAATAAGTGCATAGTGTATAAGTGAAATTAGCTCTCCCACAGAGGTATACAGGACACGCGACTATGGAAAGACATGCAGAACAGTCAAAATACAGTCACAAGAAGGTGGACAGTGATGATTAAAGCAAGAGAGCTTTTTCTCTCATTATCCACCAGAAAAAGGCTCACATTATGTGTGGCTTCTCTTGGTCAACCTGTTCAGACAGCTACGAAGTAATTTCACTTCTGCTCTTTAGGACAGACTCCCAAAACGTCAATTAGAATTCCCAAAATGCCCAGCAATGCATGAGCAGCTCAAAGTACTTCCTAAAAGTGCTCCAGTGCATTGATGGCTTTGCTCAACCTGCTTATTGCGCTGGACGATAACGAGCAAAGCATGCATCAGCCATGAATGTTCATTCCATTAATTATTTGGGACAACATCGAATTATTCATTTAGATCAATAAAGAATCTAATTCTTGGATTAAAAAAGCGAACTGGCAATTAATTCACACAGGAGGTACACAATGAATACAGGTATTGCACCACTATTCAAATATCTTTAAACAGGCCACAGAAAGTCTATAACTGAGCAATAAATGTATATTATTCTCTTAATATCTCAATATAAAAACATAAGCTTTCACACTGACAGAATGTTCATTTTCAAGTTTAAAAATTTAAGATTTAAAATCTAACGGAGGATATTCCTTAAAATCTGATAAATATATAAAAACTTAACGAAGTTATTTATATCTAGTACAGGTAGCCTATTTGAAAAATGTTTCCAACTAGAAAAGTAATTTAAAACTAAAGTGGATAATCATATTGAAAACAGGGGGAACAGCAATCATAATGGATCAGAGCTGAACAAATTCATTTTAAACCACAAACAGATTAAAGGAAACGTGTTCGTGGATTGCAGTTGTATACCATCCCACGTTACTCTACATGCTGAGCCAAATTAGTGTAATAAAAATAAGTACAGGGGAGCGGAACATGAACAGAAAAATGTAAACTACTTCTGAAAGGTCCAGATTTTTCATTGTTGTATAATTACGTTTTCATGTGTTTGACCACTTCGCCAACATTTCTCCTACAAAAAATACAAGATGACATTTAACGTACAGTGTGGAAGTCGGGGGTCTTTGCTACGGAAAAAGTGCAGATCACAAAATAACGACATGTAAACATTCCTGCTTTTTCAGTGCTACATTTCTTTTATGAGTTAGGTATATTTGTTATGTTTGCATTAAGCAGGAAGTCTTTTTGATCGCAACATCATATCACTTTAAAAGCATGAAACTTGTGCTAAAATTGCTCAGCGCCGTACCTCCAAGCGATCGCCCGCTCGTGAGCGACAGGAGCAGCAGCAGTCCGCTCCACAAAGCTCCGTAGGGACGCTTCACAAAGTCCATCTTCTGCCTTGTTACTTTTCGCTATTCTCGATCCACCTGCTCTTACAACTGCAAACAGACCAGAGATTTTACAAGTTTACTCTCGAAAAGAGCGACAGAAAGCCCCTTCTCTCCATTCTCAAATCACTGTTCAGACCAGCGTCCAAATCACGCAGAAGAGCGTCAGAGACGCGTATGTTTAACTCCGCCTTCATACTGAATTTAACCTGGAATTCCTCTTAAAATCCTTAAAGTGGTCCACATTTTAAAAGTATACATTTTATTAATATACGTGAAAAAGGGTCCAAAAATAAACAATTTGGTGTTTTTTTACGTGTTTTAAAGCTGTGGAGGTATTTCAGGAAAAGTGACAAGTGAGCAGAAAACGTATTGTCTGCAAAACGCGTTGGAAGCATTTCTACCCCTCGAACTGCAGTCACATTACGCAATCCTGTTATATTTTATTTGCTTGCTTGTTTGTTTGGATTGAGTTTATACTCAGTTTTGCTCAGCGATGATGTCAAATGCTGGCTGGGCGCTATCAAGGCTGCACACAGACTTGAGTAAAATACCTCTGTCTTGTGGGAGCGCGCATCGGCAGCAGGAAGAGACTGACTGCATACACAGGAGGGTGGTGCGTGCTCTTAATTCTTAACCCTGAACCCCAAACTGAATTAGAAATCGAGTTCTGACAGCATATTAATTGCCTGTTCAAGAATGATTCAAAATGGGGAATTTTTAAATAGGTGGAATTAAAAATAAATATTTAATTATTTACTGATCACAAATGTATCATAACCATGGATTTACCAGAAATTTACATTACAGTAATGGGGTTATTAAAATGGAATCAATGTAGCTTAGAAGACTTAAAAGAAATACTTTCAGTTTCACTTCAATCAAATGTCAGAGACATATGAGACTTATATGCACATGCATATTGCAAAGCAGTCGGTTTAACGTAACGTCACAAAGGAGATAGATGACATTCAGCAAGGTGCTTCTGCTGTAGATCTAGATAACAACTCCATAGCATAAACATTAACAAAGTTGGTTTTGCTTTTTCAGTTATGAGACTAAGCACATGATAATGTGTTATCGATTATAAAAACATGTGCCGTACTTCACCTCCAGACATCCATGTGACCTGCTTTAAGAAATTACGCTTTGTTAAATATTTTCATGGATTTTATAAAACAGGGAAGAATATATTTGAATGGGCTAGTGTGCCTGACTTTTGAGCACCTGTGTGTAGTTTTCTATCCTGCAAAAACAAGCATGATAGACATTTAGCTCATTTTAATAATTTAAGTTCAGAGGGAATAATAAAAATGGGGCTAAATAAAATACATTAAGTATATTGCTTATAGAATGATCTAGATAAGAATCTCATCCTGGCTGCTCCCTTTCATACCATGCAGTTTCGAAAGCAGTAAACCATCCAAATATATATGGATGAATGGATGGTTAATGATAGAGCCATTGCTTAATTGCTACTGGGATTCATGTGCATATATTACCATTAATTCCAGCTGCCATTTTAATGTTCATGTCTTGTAATTGTATCAGATTCCTTTGGCATGAATTGAAAAATAAGCTTTCAGACTATCAGCTGAATTTAGAGCCTGTACTAGTTACTATGTGTCTTCCTTTTAATATAATTTATTTTGTTAAGTTGCATTGCTATAAGGGGACTCATACACTTTATGGCAAAAGTATGTGGATGCCAGTTTATCCATCTTATTCCAAAATCAAAGACACAAATATGAAGTTGACTTGCCCTTTGTTGTTACAGAAGTCTCTGTTTTTCAGGAGTGCTTTCCACTGGGATTTGTTGCCATTAAGGTTGGGTATCGATGTAGGGTTAGCAAGTGCCTTTCTGTCAGCTTGTGTCGCTGCTACTTTGCACCGAACTTGCTGCAGATGTTCTGACTTCATGAGCAATTTACTTGAAAGTTGAAAGTCACTAACATCTTCTATATATGCAACTACCCATTCTGCTAGCAATATCTGTTGCAGGAGATCTTCAGTACCCTGAGAAGAGTACTTTGTCTAATATCCTTTTTTTGGTACAAGAAATATAGTGAAACCCTACACTTGACAGTGCTTTAAAAATATTTGTTTCAATTTCCTTGCGTCTACATCACAGTCAGTTCTCTTCCCAGTGAGCATGTTGCAGTTAAAGGCCGCATAAAAAAGAAAAATCATTATCATATTGCATGTCAAGAGCCAGTTTTTTTTTTATCCATGGTGCACATAAAATAATTTCTCAACCTCCATAAACTTTTATCTGTTGAAGAGCAAAATTAATTTTTTCAGGTGTAATTTTACTTTCAACCCTCACTTTTTATTATAGCAATCACTTACAGAGTCAAATATGTCAGCCAGTAAACTAGACTTTTTTTAGTTTTAAATTACAGCATAGAATCAGCAACAGTTTGTAACTGTTCCACAAGAAGATCCACGGTCTGATGAAAGTGGAAAACACGCTTATGTCTCTTTAAAAAGGGATACAAAGGTTTCATGAAATTTAATCCTGTGCATGCTAATCCATCTGTTAAGAATATATACCTTGTTTATCACCGTATGTAAAGTGACCCCAAATTATATGTACGACGCAGAAATCATTACTTGTAACTATCTTTGTATCTGCGTGCATCAGAACAATCAGCGAAGAATCAACGTGGTGAAGGACAACTTATTCTGATCAAGGTGCAAAGGATATGAACCATTAGATACGTGCTGTCAGATGAGACAAGTGCACTTTGCGTATGAATCAACCTAACCAATTGATATCCAGTAGCCTACTCTTTATTTTCTTCCTGTCCCTTCTCGTACATAATTCTGAAAATCAAAATAAAGGCCTTATTTACGAATTCTGACTGTTTTACTAATATTCTATTTCCCTGCAACGGTCTACTGGAAATTATAAAATTGTTAGTAATTCGCTTATTACTAAAAGGAAGGAAATGGTTACATAACTGCAATGGATTCTAGCACTGAAATTCTAGGACATTTAAAATAATTTATTCTGTATTAAAAACTGGCATTGTATATATGGGGAAAAAATGTGCAAAAATATTTTGGCAATATCGGAACAGGTATGATTCAACGATAGTATGTGGAAGGACAGTAGTAACAACGTATTGTTTAACGTTTGTGGGGCGTAAAATCCAGGTCGAAAACAATCTTCTTGAATTTTGGTTCGGTGCGTTTTACGTGCCCGGTAGATGTCGCTGTTTCTCTTGCTTAAGCACCATCCCAATGTCCTGTACTCCCCCCCACACACCTTCCCTATTACCGCTGGAAAAGGGCTGCGCTCCGTTACCCACAATGCAGCGAAGCGACAGCGCTGGAGATGCCTGTGTTTGTTGGATGTTGAGGATTAAAGATGGCCACCAGCAGGAGGAGCGGGGATAGTAACCACTTCGGAATTACGGCATTATTTATCATGTATGAATAATAATAATAATAATAAAAAGAGGACGAGAAAGGCGCCTTCGACATTTTTTGCAAATACACATTCCTTTCCTCGACCCCGCTCCCTGACGATATATGCACCGATTCATTGGTGAGTTGTACATTTAATATAGTTTGCAGTTAGCCAGCCAGCTAAATCTGAGAGTGACAATAATGCCAACAGCCGCTGCTGATCGCGAAATGGAAACGCAGAAATACGGAATAATGCATTTAAGCTGTTTCGTTTGTATGGTGCTATGCTCGGCGGACACAGTTAACGAAGGACAAAAGTGATCGTCAACGCTTTGATCTCTTTCTTTGACAAGCTGCGTTAGCTGGCTCTGGCTAGCTGGCTACATTGGCAGATGCTTTAATTTTTTTTATTTTTTTTTTACCAGGAAGTGGCTATTAATGTGCGTAGCATTGCTGCTGGATGCCGGCTTATCGCTTGATATTTCAGGCGTGCGCTGCCAGTGCATTGCGGGCTGATGGAAAAACGCAGCGGCTCCTCACTTTCGTTACGGGTATTTAAAAACTGCAGCATGATCGCCGAAATGTGATGACCTCAAAGCTGTGCTGTAATGTTCGCGCAGGGGTGCGTCGAAAATATACATAATATTACAGTAATAGTGCTTTCGTGGACATCACGACAATGCCCGCTGTCACAGCCCGCAGTTTTTATTTTTATGCCTGCGTGTGGCACTTAAATCATCACCAAACGCGCTTCTTAAAAATGTAGGATTAATCATAAGGAGACCGAATGACTAATTCCAGAGCACTTTAAAGGCTGAGTCAAGTCACAGGTACGGATTTTCATGTATTAAGCTCCCCGCAACCCATATGAAATAATTTTATGAGAATTGCATTGGAACACTTGAGTTTGATTTTAATATGGCGTTGGCTTAGTAGAATGGTTATTTCCTAATAGTGCAAGCGATGACTTCTCTTTTTTATGTTTTGAAAAGAAGGCTTCATTTGACTCCAGTAACTGAAAACGAGCTTAATATAAAGATTATTTTATAATATATGTAGTGTTGCACTTTGGGTTATCCGTAATGGCCTGTTTCTTGTAATGATTATATAAAAATATGTACTGTACGCAGATAATACACAGGTATACAAAAGTGGTTATTTTGGGATTATAAAAATAGGCGTGTTTTGAATACTTTACCCTAGGGTAAATTTTTATTTGTATGTGGTTAAAGGTTGCTTAGATCGAGACCTCTGATTTGCATGCTACGTTTTTCAGATCCGTCAGTGCAATCTTGTTTTTGGTGCACGTAACTTATTAATACTGAATGTTGTACCACAGTAAACGCAATGCCACTCGCGTTTTACCGCTGCCTTGTTATAACTGGTGCCTTCATTACTTTCAAGTAAATAAAATCTAGTAGTAATGTATGTAAGTGACGTTCTGATTAAGTTCTAAGTAAGTTAAATAGGCCTTTTCGCCCAATATAATGTGACCAGTCTGATGTCTGGCAATAACACAGACCTTTATGTCTGCTATTTTCAGATAAACTGAAGTGGCCTTGGGCAGCTATACAAGTAACCTTTTTCAGAAAGTGTGTAACTTGTAATTGGATGGCAGAAAAATGTCACAATTCCCTTTCATTTGAACCTGTATTGCTGGAGTGTTCTCTTTGTACTCTAGGTTATTGGTGTGGTGTCCTTTAATTTAGGAACTGCTGTTAAGCTGCTTATCCCATCAAGGTTAACAGACATTATGGGGTGACGGTGCTTGTTGAATATGGAAAACTGTTAACTGTGAGATCTATTCACAGTGTAAAGTGTTTGCTTGGTGGGGCACATGCCTGACTTTGTGACCTCTTCGCTCAATGAGATGAAGAGAATGTTGTCCATCAAAAGATTCATTAGTAAATTTTTACAGTCATAGGTGTAATTGCACCCAAAATAATGCATTATGCCCTTTTGCCTTACTATCTGCCAGCCAGTATAATTTTCTCTCTTTTTAAAAATCTGTTATTTATCTGTTTGCCTTCTAAGCAGCTGTTTTGGGTAACGTCTCCCCACATCTTCATCATCACAGTCTTTCTGTAGCAGGTCTGCAGCCATTATTGGCAGTAGAATGTTCCCAGAGCCCTATTCTGTGAGATTCCCAATTATTTATTGAACACTGTGTCATATGTGCTTTATTGTACTCTCTTTTGGTTGCACTGGCTTTCATTTTATTTTTATACTGATGATTCATTTCGGTTCTTCAGTTTGGCCCTTTGATAATAGTGAACTTAAGGTGACTGAAGACTAATGGTAAAATTGATGCCGGAATGTCAAATAAACCTCCTTTAATGATACCGGGGTTTGGCTTATCACTTTCCGAGTGGGAGGGTGACTGTCTGCTGTCCCAGTTCCAGTGTGTCGGTCAGGAGTGAGTTGGAAGGTTGGGTCAAAACTTCCGATGCACCATTAGAATATTTTCCTTCTTAATGACTCCAGTTACAGGATTGCTTCAGACCTAATACTGAAACCTGCTGGCTAGTAGTTTTGGCATTAACAGACCTGGACACTTTGTCAGCTGGCTAAATGTTCACTTCTAACATTATTATTACAAGCCACAGTGGTTTGCCCTTTCTACCCGTGAAAACCATGGTTGCATCTTTGGTCTCATTGTTCTGTTTTTAACTTTTAATAAAGGTAATTAATTATGATTGCTTTACCGCTCATATACAACACATCACAAGACTGAAATTGTATTTGAATATTTGAAACTAATTAAATAAGGAATTTTATTTATGGCGTACAATGTAAGGGCAAGTTTAAATGGTAGTCCTTCACAAAACCGATTTCTTCATCTGACTCATTAGTCAGTAAGGGAAGAAAATCCTACCGTTGTCGGATTAGCCATTTGTTATATGTCTCTCAGGGTCTGAAATGTTTTGTAAATCTTAAAAGAATACTTAAAACATTGTCGATGAACCAAATAATACATTTTCATAGGCGGGCCTTTGAACTGCATGCTGGTTTATTGAAAATACAAAATAACCAAGCTTTATGACGTTCTGGAAATGTAGTTGTCTTAGAGAATAAAGCATAGCAACCTGTAAAGAATGGAGTTTGAAATTGTAGTTGTTTGTAGCTTGAAATGTTATAACTTAATCATTTTTGTTCACCGTGCTATCCCAATGGCTCTCCCTAGTTCCCAAAACTGGAATATTCTTGTTAAAGCCACGTGAAAAATAGTGCATGAGCGTTAAGGATTTTTTTTCTAAACCGCCAAATTCCATTCCGTGTTTTTAAAAGTTGGTCCTGGGAGTAAATCACGGCAGTGACAAGCTGTCCGGCGGCGGTGAGCTTTGGCCTGAATTCATTAACTGTTTTCCACGTGTTCGCTGTCTGTTAGTGCCGGTTAATTGCGTTTCGGTAGTGTGGAGTCGAACCGTATTTGTCATTCATATGCTTGCCATCCATGTAGCAGCAGCATGACTGTGCCAGTGTAGGGGCAGTTAACCTAAGACTAAGGGGGTGGGTATCTGCTTTCACTGCTGTCCTCAGGCAGTGAGAGGCAACGGCTCTGTAGTTTTTCAGCTGCGGTAGTTGGCGTCTCTCTTCTCCACAGGAAGGTTCCTCAAACTGCTCTCACAGTTTGGCCCATACTGCCCAGGGCACGTACGAGGCGTCTTTATTGTAGACAGTGTGATCACATTCATCTGCACCAGCCTTCTGCATATGAAACTGTGGTTCTCATAGTTTGTAATATAAGCTTCAGATATTTCAGGTCTGTCAGTATGACCTGCGTGTCAAAAACCTTGCTGGACCGTGTTTCTCTTTCTTTGTGTCCTTTTAATTACAAATTGTCACCTTTCTGTAATGTAGACACTGCCATACACTGTAGCCTCTTCTTCTGAACACAGTGTATCAATACATCCATTTGATTATCGATCGATTGATTGATTGGCACACGTTTCTTTCCCTCCTAATTTTAACTTGAAATATTTTTCAGAAAAAAAATTGAAACTACCTTTGAGTTTAAGGTTTATAGATTTGAAACATTTCCATAAAAAAATCGTCACACGTGGATTGAAATCTTAACATACAGTGAGATATGAAACTGTGCAGTAACAAATCTTTATTAAATATGGTATTATACATTTTAAATGAACATTTCACATAATATGCAAGTATCTAATTGCTATATATTACAACATATCAAAATCATGATTTAATGTGTTGTCATATGTGTTATAAACATGAGACTGTTATGGATGTTATTCCTGAATGGTTATGTTGGATATGGAAGAACTGACATTGGTTTGATGGTTGGATCATTTTCTCACAAATAATTTATCTGTTGATTTCTAGTAGTAGCTTTTAATTTTTTTTTGTTTGCTATAACATACATACATTTTGAATAACTTGACTTACCTTTTATTTTCAGAAGCAGTTTTTTTTTTCCTCTATGCGTTTATCTGCTGGCAGATTTAAAAATTCTATCACTTTAAGTTACATATTTGTGGAGGCTGTAATGTATCAAGTGACACCAAAAGAGCAAAGATGGGCTGCATCAGCATAAGACGTCTCTGCGAGTGTAGGCCTAGTGATTTTAGGAAATGACTCTGCGTTCTGTTGCTGCTTTCACGCTCGCAAAAAACCCATCTGCATTTTACTCCCGGGTAACGAGGGAGAGGGAGGGCCGGAGTCACATGTTGGGAAACTTCTTTCTTGCCTGACTGTAATGTGGAACTAACTAGAAATAATCAGTTTCGCTGTGTTTGGGCTGCTGTCGTTTGTCTGCTTTTACAATCATTGTTTATGCTGTTTTTGTTTGGAGGAAATTGCAACTCAGTAGAGGAAAGAAGTACGAGAAAATCGCCTTGGCTCAGGGTGGCTGAATGTGTCTTTTGTCCGAATTGCATAGTAAGTAGGTGCTAAACACAAACGGTTTTTGAATTCTTCACCTCATAACAATTACTAGATAGTAGTCTGCGTACATTTTTCCAGAGGTATTTTCCAAAAAGTAAAGCCACACTCAGTAAGGTAATACTCTTAGCTACCAACCAATATCTACCAAAAATATCTACCAAATATCTACCAAAAAACTCAAAAAAAAAACCAAAAAAACATTTTAAACCGAATTATTGGATTACTAATAGG